CTGAAAGCAACGTGATGTCGATGCATTGTTACATCTCATAGCTCTTAATTGACTTTCTTGTTAGTCAAGCACATTGGACGGCGCAAATTTAGAGAACCCTAATTTAATTATAAATTATTGAGATTGCTATGAGTGATCAGATTTAAAATTTAAAAATACACTTGTCAATATTTTATTGGATAGTTTGGAGAGGACGAAAAAGAAAAAGAAAAAGAAAAAAAAATAAAATAAAAGGGGCCACACAAGTGCTGCGTTGTCAAAATTAGAGAACCCTAATTTAATTATAAATTATTGAGATTGTTATGAGTGACAAGATTTAAAATTAGGAAGACACGTGTCAATATTTCATTAGACAGTTTGGGAAAAAATAAGAGCCACACAAGTGCTACCAGCATAGCACCTGTCAAAAGCCTATCCCCAAACCCCGTTCAAGCAACATAAGTGTAAATTATTTTATTTTATCGTTAGTATCATCTTTTCAATTATCATAGTTTACATTTAAGACTAGCAAAGTTTAGCATGACCCTTGTTTAACTTCGTAACATATAGAAATGATAGTACTGAATTTTAATTCGATTTTAAAATTTTGTTTTTATGATAAATTAAGGAGCTACAATTTAATGTCCTATATATATTTAGAAACTATTAACGACCCATGTTCGAGCTATTCCAAGTTACCGAGTAAGAATTGTGAAGTAATCAAGACACATTTGATAAGTAGATTAAACGATACCACATATTATTAAAAAATAAGAATAAGATACGATCTAATGATGTGTACTAAAAATGCACTTAATTTATGAGGACCACAATCACATAACCATTGATGCATCAATAGTGTCATTTTCCAAATTGCATAAAGCGCAAAATTATCGCGACGAAATTAATATAATGACATTCGAAATAATATTGTTTCTTAACAATAGAGATGCGGAAAGAAGTTCACAAACACCATAATTATGGATTAAAAATCTGTCCCTTAGGATGAAAAGGTGGATCAATTTGGTTTTGACCCGATCTTATTCGATCCAATGAGAGAAATGGGCCATCTACTTTGTTAGGTCTGACAATACATCAAGCCCATTACTAACAGTAGTCCATCAAACTCTCTTCTCTTATTAGATTAGTAGGCCCAATCAAAAGTTTTAAGTTGATTGGGCCTGGCCCATTTGTATTGATGTTCAAAATGTGGACAAATGGGTTTAGACCTGATCTAATCCAATCCACTAAGATAAATTTTGCCCATACCCTACATTTTTCTCAATCAGCCCTGCTTAATGTAACCATTGATCCACCTGTCAACATTTTCATTCACAAAAATTCGTTTTTTGACTTTTAAGCCATTGCTTGACACCCAAAAAAAAATATATCTTGCAACTTTTGTGTCAACAATTTCGTCGACATTGAAGGATAGATGAAAATATAAGAACTTGAATTACTCCCGTTGTCGTTTAAGATATTCTCAAATCTTAATATGATATTAGAGTTTCTTAAATTTCAAAAAGCAATTCAATCTGATTAAAATTAAGACGAGCACACAAATTTCAAGATTTATATGCTCCAACAATCTTATGCGGACATATTAAAAGATAAATTCTCACATTAAGTAAAGATGAATAATATAAACTAACATATAACTACTCTTGATAGGATTGACTTTTAAAATGGATACTCATTTCTTAATAGTCACCACCTCCTTAGTTGAGTATGTAAATGCAACCATTGCAGCCCCAAAAACAGATTTGCTTTGCAATGGTGGAATGTATGTGTCTACATTGTTAAGAGATCGAATAAAGATAAAAATATAGACCAACTTATAAGATTTTATGCTACTTCTCTTAATAAAATTGACATTTTAAGATGGAACTCAAGTCTTGACATGATATCAGAATCCATTAAACTCTAACGAATGATTCGACCAGATTAAGACTCAAAAAATGAGCATACGTCCTCTAAAAAAAGAGCTACCATCTTGTGAAAACATGTTACGAGATAAAAATCTCACATCCAATAACGATGCAAATATAGACCAACTTATAAGATTTTGGACGACTCCATTTAAAAAGGTTTTTAAGATGGAACTCCAAGCCCAAACATGGTATCAAAGCTCATTGAGTTTCAACGAGCGATTTGATCCAATTAAAACTCGATAAATGAGCATACGAATTTTAAGATTAGTCTGTTCAAACGAGTCACTATCTTACGAGGACATGTTAAGAGATAATAAAAATATAGACCAACTTTAAAATTTTGAACTACTACTCCTAATAAAATTGACATTTTTAAGATAAATCCCCAAATCTTAACATCCATAACAAGATACCTTCTAATAATGGGCTGGCATCTTCACAGCACTAGTCGAAATAGCAGGGTCTTCCCCAACTACTAGACCGTGCCACGTTTGTGGTCCATTACGGGATTGTGTTGGGGCAAAGTACGGCACAAAATTGTCTACGTGCGTCCGTGGCCGTGGCCGTGGCCGTGACCATCTGAACAAGAATCAGGCCAGAGACCACAGGCAAGATTACACAGTACAACACATATAGGCTCACTGCTCACATAGTACAGAAAGAGGAGCACACAAGGGAAATTCCTTAAAAGGCATTTTCTGCCACAAGAATTCAATATCATGTGTTTAGCAAAGAAAGACAGAATAGAAACAAAGTATATTTGACAATAATAAGTCAATAGAATTAAGCTAAATTTACTCCCACGTGAATGTCCGCGTTTGGTGGGATCCACTAGTAGACGATCCGTCGGGCTCATTCATAAATATCCCCTGAAAATTGAGGGTGGAGTTTTTGCTACCACGGGAATCCATATCAAACCCTACTGACTTGCTTTCAACTTCTCGAGGATACGAGTACTGGCCTAGACTGATATACTGCATGTTGTGAAGGGACTGTGCATTGGGGAGGACTTGGTCAGGCTGCACCATATGGTCAAAACCGAATTCCCGAGATACAGCAGGGGCCGATGACAGAAGAGAGAGAGCACGATCAGAGTCAACGACCTGATTTAACCCATCAGAATAAATATTTTGGCTGCAGGTATTATTACTTCCTGATGCAGCATTCGGATCAAGAAGAAGTTGACAGATGGAATTTTCTTGGATACTTTGGGGAGTGCTTTGCAAGAATTGAAGTTGATTTATTCCTTTAAAGCTGTGTGCTGAACCTCCAGGGTATGTATTTTGTCTCTCGATGTAATTCAGATTGTTGTTTAGAACCATATTAGTCTCAGTTTTCACAACCCTGGCCCAAGATGAACTTGGAACGGGATTCGGTTGTATTTCTGGGCTACTAAATGAGAGAACTCGTGTACCTGCAGCAACACGACGGTTCACCCAAACAAACAAATGCTATCATGTTTAGGTAAGCTTAAAAAGTTACTTACAGTAAATAAATAAGTTTCAAATAAAAGTAATTTTTTATTTAGACACCAACATAAGCAAGCAACTTATTATTATTATTCTAAAAAAAATTTAAACACTAATAAAAAAGTAAGTCATCGAAACTTTTTTTTTTTGCTTCTTTTCGAACTCAGCCAATATGCTTTAAGCAAGTCAATTCAATAGAAGTGAGTCATTTCAAGTTTGTTCAAGTAGAAATATGATATGCAAACATGCAAACGAACAAATGCTATTAAGTCACTTTATAAAACATCATACATTTTGAAGGTTAATTCTAACCTTGCTGGCCGGGAAACATCAATCCAGAACTTCTGCACAGTGTGTCAGGCTGAGGCTTCCTCCGGCGTCTGTTGTGGCCATCAAGACGTTTCCTGCAGCTTCTCTTTCCTTCATCAAACTCTATCAAGGAATGAAACCTACAAAAGTAATAAAAATAAAATTTACATGCAATGAGGTACTTCAAATCTAAACTGAATCCAGGATCAACACCAGCTTAGCAAGCTACGTAGAGGTACTTCAATAACTCCAAAAGCTCCATCCACGTCAGTCGACTACAATCAGAAAGGGATGAATTTGAACTTGTCCATTGCAATGAAATTGAGGGAGAATCGCCAAGAAAATTTACAGATACAGTCGGAAAGGGATGAGTTTTGTATGAAAAGTGATGGAAATTGAATTTGTAGCACAAAAATTGGGGAAACTCAACACGATTTAATAGTCAAATATAATAAAGTTGGTCAAGAAATAACTAAATAGTGGCACTCAAAAATTGATGGTAATTTGAGAATAAGGCTGACAACTAAAGTTTTGGGAAGAGTCATGAATTAAAACCTGGGCTCAAAGAAAGTGTGCGTAAGAAAACGGTTTCATGTAAATATATAAATTTCAAAAACCATTTATGAATTCCAAAAGCATATTAGAAAGATGTCATTAGAACAAGAAGAAGCCTATAAACAACCAAAGATACTATAATTGAGATAAGAATTTGAATCTTTTTTTGAAATTGCAACTACGCATTGCAAAAACTTCGGTTCCAAGTAAATACTCAATAGCTAAGTTGGCTTATGACATTAATAATAATATGATCCAGTGCTTTCTAGGTCACCTCAGACCTTACGATTGGTATTTATCTCCAAAATATTAAAAACTTCTGCCTTGCCTTCTTTAAAATATCCTGGACAATTTGGGTAGGTTGAACACCCTTTTCTAGAAATTATAGAATAATAGAGCATTTAACAACATTGTTAGATTCATGGAGCCTAAATATGGTTCACTTTGTGAATAAAATTGGTGAAAAACATTATTCACGTGTATATTGAGTAGTCCATACATATACTAAGCCTAAATATGGTTCACTTAATACTTGTGTCTATGATAATCATAGAAAACATATATCAGTTTTGAAAGCATTTTACCTGCTGCATGTTATATTAATCTATATGACTTATAAAAACAAATTTCTAATAAATCCATTTGTAATCAATAAGCTGCAAATGTCACAGGGGCCTAAGAGGATTAATGCATTAATGGAACAAAATCTCAAGGATCAGATGACCGAAAAGAACTAACACAATATGTTCTCCATTAGTTATCTTTGGATAAACCTATAAAACAACCGATATGATATAGACCGAGTCATAAGTGAACAAGAAAATTTATCAACTTTACCTACTGCACTGTTGACAAAATCGCTGCTCTCGACCCCCTATGGTGACTTTTGCAGTTTTTGAGTGTATCTCACAGACTTTATGGCGTCGGTGATACTCTCGGCAAAGGCTTAAGTCAGCAACACACCCATCAACCAAGCACTGAGCAATTTGGGTAACATTCCCAGGAGCCTTGGCCCTTTTCGATGATCCAGAAAATGCTGACGAATCCATTGAGAAGTCTTAGAAGATTACGAATCCTTTAACTTCCAAAAGCTCAATCCCAATATGATTTAACCCCCAATATTCGAGGTGCTGATCAGCTACTCACAGTGCTGAAACTTGAAAACAGGGTAACAGTTTTTCGCTCCGAAATAGTTCACACACTCCGTTTACTCTCAATCAAGCTCTTCCTAAATCAATACGCCATTGATCTTCAATAACGTCCTTACCGTACTCGTCCTGCCAGTTAAACATCAAGTATGTCTGATCTGAATAGTAAAAAATCATAAACAAAGATTAAGATTTGATTAATCCAAATTACAAGATAAGGCAGAAAAGAAACGCACAATTGCAGGCTAATGCTAATCCTAAAGGCTAAAAGATTTTGATTTACCACTCCAATAATTTCAAGTAAATACATAGGACATATTCAGAAGAGAACAATTCTTATCGGTATATTAACATTCAAAATTAAAATATACAAATATCAGTATATCAAAAAGGGGATACAATATAATTCAACATTCAGAATTACTGATTTCCATGCTAATACAACTTCAAGACATAGTCTAGTCTTAAGGAATTAAATTTTCCCCAATTTAGAAGCAGATTTTTGTATTCTTTTTGGGAATTATCCGTGTTCAAGTAACAAAATTGATGACTGAGCGGTCTTCTTTTTGAACAGGGTAATTTTTCCAACTTTTTAGGTAAGACAGACAGATTAAACAGGTCTTTCGGAGCAATAGTTAAAAAATGGTAGTACTTTCACCATCCCAACCCCCAACAACCCCACACCAACCCACAAGGGCCGCATTGGAAGCTTTAATTTCAGATCAATGCAGCAGGAGAAAATTCTGTATTTGTTACATTATCATGTAAACAAAACCCAGAGAACCTCATTTCAAGAAGGTAAAAATTATGCAGAAGGGAGCGGAAAACTAGAAAAAGGGCTCATCTGCAATTTGCTGATACCGTACAATTTTTATTTTTTTT